AGGGAATTTGTGTATCTACAGTATAATGAAACTTCAAAATGAGTTTGATGAATACCCAACTCATTTTGCCTCCCCTCATTTTCCGGCACTTAGATAATGGCTCATGTGAAAATCGTTATCATTTCAGATATCACGATATAAAGGCAGCATCTGAACTAGTTTCAGGCAACTTCGGTCAAAACGATCGAACACTGCACTCTAAAATTCTTTCTGGCAGATATTAGGCCCATCTTTCATAACGAGAACGCTTCGAGAGACTTTCATATAAAAAAGGATATGTAGATTTCACGAAAGCTAGACACGTAGTCATAAAAGTTTTATGTAAGTTATTTTAGTGCCAGTGACAAAAAACTTTTATTGAGACATCGAGCTACATCCTTCGTGTTAAGTGAGAATATGTGATAAGATTTTCAGAGGGTTTCAACTAGTTATTTGGTTACTCTTTCAATTTTCTTTTCTGAATTCAAGAGAGTTTCAAATATTTTAATTCCGTTCATATGACACTGATGAATACCAAATGTCTTGAATATGAAAGGTTTCGTATACAAAAATAAACCAACCAGGGCGATACAAAATTGCAAGCCAACTTGACACCATATAGGTAAAGAGTGTTAAGACAGTAACACATGAATTAATTTATCAGTCCAACCTGAACTGATATCATAAGGAGATTCATTTGTTCATATATCTTAAAACTATCTTACGCTTTTTTCGATTTCACTGCACCGCTTGTACCCGCAGCTCTTTCGTAATTCAACTGATCCAACTTTGAGATCCTAATGTTGGTTCGTTTATATGTTAGGTTAGGTTGGGTTAGGTCCAGAATTAGTGGATCTATTCGACACTCCACCACAACCCGCAAGGGTTTATTGTGTCTTACACTTATTCACACTCAACCAAATAAACCCAGCTTCTAAACGAAGCCGATTATGAACATCTCATATCTGAATATATAACTATAACATATCCTTCTATGTCTGACAGAAATGATTTTATCCAGGAAATGAGCTTTGGAAATATCAGTATTTGCTTTGAGTTTTTCCATACAAACCATCTGTTTGTATTGTTCGAAGTCTCACGCGATGAATGAACATATATTGACGCAGCTCTTTGTTTTTCACAGTTATAATATTTTCTTAGATGTACCGGAAAAATAAAACATAATTCGATGTATTTATCCTTTCATTTAAACGTGTTACTATAATTCAATTTTGCTAGTGGAATGATAATACGGCGATCAGAACGCCAAAAGTTGTTTTGACACAGTCGTCCATCATAAGGAAATAATTCGTTGAATAACTAATGTTGATCATTTTGGAAATTCCACTAACCTACGAAGATTATTCAGCTTTGGAGGAAAAGAATGGAAACTGAAAATTCTTTCATTCATTCCAATGTTTCAAGTTATAATCACGCAGATCTACGAATTTCATAATAGTTGAACCTCACCATGTGAGAATATAAACGTTCTACTCATATACTGAATGGAATCAAATTCCGAGTCGATTCTCACACATCAAACTTTCGTTTCAGAGGTCTAATCTCACCTCCATCTCATAGAAGTATATTATATCAAAGACAGACGATGCTTGTGAGTAGTCGAATTTTAACTCTGGCGTCACAAAACACTTGCAGCGTGTTACTACCCGGGGCGTAGACAGACTGAGACCTTAGTTCAGTCACACCTTTCTGAAAATGGCTTCAAAGTGGGAGCCGAAACGTTGAACAACTAAAATACCAGACGCGGTTACACCCGCACTTCTGAAGTATACTAAACCAGGACAACTCTAAATTGATTTCTGTTCTATTCTGCAATAATACATGGTGTAAAATAAGTACGTTGAAGTATTCAAATGACATATTCCTGAGACGAATTTAAGAAAAAAAGTGTGTATAAACTTGTGTCCGGAAATGCTTCGTTTCGTAGATACGGGGTGTTGGAATTGAATTTTTTGTTCGCTTTTTGAAAATAACTCTTGCAAAAAATAAGTTATTTGCACGAAATTTGGTACCCGGTGTTTTTTGACGTGAAAAATTATAATTTGGTATCAATTTTCATGTAACATCTAGAGGGCGCTGCGTACGCTATCATTATTTATTTCAAATTGCCCTAACTTTTTTGACAGTGAACTTTTGGTACTTTTCATGAGAGAACCTAATTTCCACACCATTTTCAAGTAAAAAAGGTACAACTCCTCAACAACGCTGGAGGTGATCGTTTTCGAGATATTTACAGTTTTCTATATCGATGCATATTACTTAGCTCCTAGGACACTAAGTGAAGTTGCTGAGGACATTACAGAAACTAAGTATGTAGTGGATCCCGTCAAAATGAACAACTTTTTCCTATAAAATGTTTAACGAACAATGATTTGTTTTCGAAATACAGATTGTTGAAATTTTTCAAAACATGGTAGGTTTTTGTCATAAGTTTTTTGCAATTTCGGTTATTTTCATCAAACTTTATTCGCAGTATACCCGTACAGACTTCTTCTAAACTGAGCATTATCGAACTGCTTATTAAATCCAAATTAAAAAAAAAATTGTCAGGTTCAATTATTCAACTAGAAAGTGCTATATTTCGGAGTTTGTAAAAAAACAATTCGGGGAAGTATTATGTTATTTATTAGGAAAATAAACATATAAAAATTCAACGAAACAACTATTACAACAACTGTTCAAAGTGACGACCCCCAACAATAATACAAGCTTCTGTTCTCACCATCAAAGAATTCCACACCTGTTAAAAAAATGACCGGAGTGTTTCTTATCGTTTCGCAGCAAGCTCTAATGCGATCCCTCAACATATCTTCGTTTTCAATGGAGCTAGCATGAACTAGTGATTTTGGGTGTCCCCAAAAGAAAAAAATCGACGGGATTGAGGTCCGGTAACCTCGGCGGCCAATGCTCAGTGCCTTCTCTTCCTATTCATCACTGGGGATATGCTACGTCTAAAAAATGTTTTGCTATCACACTGAAATGAGCAGGATTTTCATCGTGCATGAACCTAGAGTGATTTCGGAGACCAATGGGAACATCTTCCATAAGTTGGGGAAGCTCGTGTTCCAAAAAATGTAGGTGAGCATCTCCATTCAAACGTTAGGGGAGAAAAAAGGGCCCAATTAAATAATCCCCGATCATGCCTACTCATACATTAGAAGAGTATCTGTCTTGGAAATGAGTTTGCGTTATCGCGAGTGGATTATCTGCCGCCCAGATGTGGTTGTTATGGAAGTTCATGATACCATTTCTTGAAAAATTAGGCACATCTGTGAAGAGGATTTTAGATGAAATTTGCGGATTTTGTTCGACTTTTCTTTCAAGCCATTGAGCAAATTCGATACGTGGTTGGAAATCACGTAGCGTGAGTGCCTGGACACGCTGAATATGATAAGGATATAACCGCTGTCTCTTTAAAATTCTGAAAACTGTCATGTGACTCACATCTAACTAACTAAGTTTGACTAATTTTTCTTGTTTTTGTCTCTGATGTTCACTAATTTCTTCGAGAACTGCCTTCTCCAATTCTACAGTTCTTGTAGTCCGTGGCCATCCTACTGCAGAATTTGTTTCAGAGCTTCCAGATTCGGAAATGTCGCTGCACAAGGAGCTGGGAATACCTTTTCTGATAGATGCGTCTGGGCTCGCTTGAATTTCCGTCAGCCAAGCCGTATGCAAAAACCATATCAGCCATTTCAGCATTCGTAAAGTCGAGCATGGTATCAAAAAATCACTTTATAAACTCCGAACTGTGAATTTGTCGATCAATACTTAAAAATGTGACAGCGAACTTCTATTTTCATAAACAAACCTTCACAGCCTACTCGATTTAATTAACTTAATTTGCAAGCGGAGGGTGACAAAAATTTTCGAAATCAAATTTGGCTATGAAGTAATATGCATCGATTTGAAATTAATAATGACTGACTATGACATTCTACGAAGAGATGTTTCTGAAGCCACAATTGCCAAAACGTCATTGACTTTCTGTTGCAACTTTTTCGCCGTAATACGACACCCTTCCGTCTTACGAAAGTCGTAAATAGTCCATCTGATATTGGAATACTCAGACTCGGGAATATCAGTTACTGGTGCTCTTCTAGGCCGCTTCTTTGTTGGGGTGGAAAATTTTACTCATGAATTGCAGAAACTAATTGTTCCCCTTCTTCGACCACTCTTCCAATGATTCTTATTGAAATATCTATTACAAAATACAGATTTTTGTTGATATACTTATGTCTTAAATGTATTTGATGTTTCCTGTAGCGAGAGATGTTTTACTTTTACATGTGATAACGTATTCGACTCACATTCAACACTTTGGTAATAATTCACGTGCCTGGCTCTTGATGACTGGTTTTTTGTTGGACGATGACATTTTTTTAGAAACAACATGAATTATTCAGACAATGCCAATCGCCAACAGCATTGGAGGACATGTAATGATACACCCCTTTACAGAGCATTATTTGTATTTCTTGCGAAAGCTCTTGTGGGGGTTACATTGAAAATGAGTTCCTACGCATGGTGGGCGAGAATGCCATCACGTTTGGCGCTTGCTGTATACATCTGGATGTTTCAGTTCACTCTTTACTTGTATTCTTCGGATACTTGTAGAAAATATTTCGAGTGAGCCAACTCATTTTTGTGATGTTTTTTCCTCTTGGACCTCTTTCTGTACTCACTTGCTTTTTGTAGGTGTGTCCAAACTGTGTCCATAGTTTTGCGAATATATTGTTCAAACAAGTTTGAAAACCAAGCCTGATATTTATGAAAATAGATAGTGGTTCCTTTAAAGAATCAGTTCATTAAGTCCGATTGGTACAAAAATGACTTTCACGAAGTAAGTCAATTCATCAGTGTGAAAAGAGTAGTTATTATCAGCTCTTTCCGGTTTGCATTTCCATCGCTTTCGAAGTAATTCGATGCTGACTTTTCCGTTATATCCAAAAAATATAAATCATTCATGAATAAACTACTGCTGAGAAATCAACTGCTACTTACGATGGTTCATCCTCCAACACCAGTTCCTCAAAATCTAGTATTATTCTGTATCCAGGAGAAGCACTGATTTCTATATCACAGTTGGCGTTGTCGGGATAGTGTCGAGGGAATCCAGGACTCGATACGAAAGCTTTCGGCTGGTCTCTAGACAGAATAATCGATCTGTTACAGTTGATAATCCAGCTAGGTTCCAGAGGTTCTGAAATAGACAATTATAAAATCAACTAATGAAAAAGTGACAAGAAATCCTCTCAATACAGTTGGTTTATCTGGTTTTCTACTATGTTGAATTATTACAAAATAGCGACACCTGCTTCGTCTCAAGCAGGACTGATGAAGTACCCCCAAAACTTCACCCTTCTTCAATTCTACAAACAGTAGCTATCATCTACATTGAAATCATTTAGGTATTTCTAGGATACATATAACTACCTAAAAGAAGCGAATATGATCCTGAATTCGCTGAAATAAAAGAGAAAATAGAGACAGATCAATGAACTATTGAGTGTTATAGAATGATTATTCTAAGGGGATTAGGCATGATTCAGCAAAGGACAGTTATTCAAAGCATTGAATGAGTAGGGTAACAATAATACAACACAAACTAACATCAAATGCTAACAGCTGTTTCGACATACTTTGCCATCTCCTGAGCATGTTATTTGCCCTGAGATAGAATATTTTCCACACGGTTACTGTGTGCAGAAGCTAGAGTCTTGTCCATCCACCCCCACTCATTTGTGAGTGGACCTTTGACCTCCTGCGGTTGAAAGTCAGCCTTTAGGTGCTTTCACTTTCGTGATCTGTTGATTTTTGTCGTAATTTTATTTTATGTAATGTTTGCATGAGGGTTTCACATGCAAATATGAGGGAACCCCATGGAAAGGCAAGTGACTTTCGGTCGCGAACTAAGTGTGTGTGTCTATAAGAATGTATTTGTTAATAATCTATTTATAAAGTTTTTATACTAACCGGAGCCGCTTTACAGCGACTCTCGGAGGTGGTGGTTAGTTCTGCTTCTTGGGCCTCACGTGTTTACCCCTTTCGCGAAATCTTGTGTCGTCCTGTAGAGCGCTTCCTGTGGGTCACGAAGCACTGGCGTATGTTCGTATTTTTTCGAATACGTTATTGGCGCGGCGTGCTCTCTCATATATGCGTCTATGTAGTAGATGTTGAGGTCCAGGTTCCGGTAAATGAATATGTTAGGCATGTATCTTGGAACGTTCTATACGGCAGCTAGTACGCATGCGTCATGAACGTCTGGATACTGCGTCTGTATGTCGCTGCGCACTAGCCACAGGCAGTGGAGGCATACAGAATAATTGATAGTAGTACGTTGTTGATGAGAATCAGTTTCACATGGAGACCCATGTTACTACTGCGGCCTATGATTATGTATAGGTTTCGCCAGCCCGAGTCTCTGTCGCGACTTCCAGGTATCTTGCGTCGTTGGTCCATGGAATATCTTGTTCGTTGAAGATGACGTTTCCTTCCGGGTGTACCAGCTTCCGAGGGTTTATACTGATTTTCCAAAGGTTGGCCCATTCCTCTAATCTGTCCGCTTGCTCTTGCAAGTATCTGGTGGCCAATAGGGCTGTGCCAACTTGTTGAAGTTGTTCTCTGGCTTGGGCACGTCTGCTGTATATACCGAGTAGAGGTGTGGAAAAAAACTGCACCTTGTGGGACTCCTGCTTCCAGAAGTCGCATGGTAGAGAGTTCGTGTCCTACTCTGCAACGGCATCGTCGGTCTGCTAGGAAATATTCGATGAGTCTCACCATTTGTTTCGTAGCCAAAATTGCTTATTTTGGCTAGAAGACCGTCATGCCAAACTCTGTCGAACGCCTTGGAGACGTCTAGGAATATCCCTCCGGTTAACCTATGTATATGATGTCATCTCCTTGTTATCAAAACTTTATGTGTTTTGGTAAGAAGGTGTAGACTTCTAAGTTTCTCAACATTTAACCATCCTGATTCTTGCATTGCTGGGGATATATGGTAATATTTCCGAATACCAAACGAGAAACGTAGATAGCTATTATGAATACGCTGTAGTCGGAGAGCATCCGATTGTTTTGAAGCAGGTCCATGAATACTGTCGCAATAGGGAATTTTTGACATAATCAGAGACTCGCATAGTCTTAGTTTTGAGTTTATATTGAGCAAATCACGATTAGGAAAAAGCTGTCTGAGAACGTTATAAGAAGATTGGTTCAGATGACATGTTCAATAAAGCGAAGATCCAGATCAAACCACAATCCTAAATTTTTTATCTCGTCCACGGAGGGAAGTATATCGTTTTCGATGTGAACTTGAAAGGTAGAGTTGGTGAGCTCTCTGTTCTTCTTAGCTCCGAACATCATTATTGCGGATTTGTCTGAATTGAGCTTGAGCTCATGGGCAGTAGAAATGTTAAAGATGGCTTGGAGATCGTTATTAATATGCGACAGAGCAGATGTAGACTCACCAGGCGAAAAAGAGAAATATAACTGCGTGTCGTCTGCATAGTGATGTATATTGCATTTTTCACGGACAGATAAAAGTCACAAATATACAAGCTGAAAAGCAACGGTCCAAGGATAGATCCTTGTGGCACTCCCTTAAATACTGGCAAAGCATCTGAGAAGACTTCATCCACAACAACTCTTTGAGTACGATTCTTCAGATAGTTTTCTAAGAGAGACACTGCTTTCCGAGAAAAACCGAAGTGGACAAGTTTGTCACACAATATCTCATGATCTAGAGTGTCAAATGCTTTGCTGTAATCTAGAAGTATCAAACAGGTCAAATTTTGTTCATCTGCAGTTTGAAAAATATCGTCAGTAATTGACAGAAGAGCCGTGGTGGTACTATGCTGAGGTCTGAATCCTGATTGTACAGATGTTATAATATGATTTTCATTGACGTACTCATTGATCTGATTTTTCAGAATCGATTCCACTACTTTAGAGAGATACGGTAGAATTGTAATTGGTCTTAGGTCAGAAATGACAGTAGGCGAGTTACACTTAGCCAGAGGGATAACCAATCCATCCTTCCAACATTTTGGAAATTGTCAACTGGTAATGATGAAGTTTATGAGAAAGGTGAAGTGATTTATCAAAAAAGAGTCAATGAGATTGATCAATTTGAGGGATACCCCGTCAGAACCCAAAGCGTTGCTCTCGATGCGTCTCAGGGAACTTCGCACGATCTCACAGGTGACTGAGGTGAAGTGAAAGGAGTTTTCAGTTTCTTCCGAACTACCATGTCGAACTAATACGGACAATTGGTGAGCAGATCTGATAGGTTGAGGTATGGAATTGAAGTGCTGGTTAGTGAGATTGACGTCTTTTAATTCATCAGAGATATCTCATTGTTGTTGTTTCTCAAGAATTTACTAATAACATCATTGAAGAGGCATTAATATTTATATAATCATTCGGAACAATGTTGTTTTTGTTAGCAAGATGTTTTTTGATATCCATTGATACCAATATATTTCAGCCTTTTTTGTTGGATGTGTAGAATTATTGAGTTTTGTGCGAAATTGTGAGTTTATTCCAGGATAAATATTCGAAACTCAACTTTCTATAGGGTATGAAATTAAGAATTGAAAAAATACGATATCTATTGAACGATCCAAATGATTTTGATCACTTTTCGTTACTGAAACTGTTTTCCCCAAATAATCATACTTTTTGTCCCGGGAATAATTGATACGTAATGATTATTAGGGTATTGACCTGTTTCTGCTTATTTTCACTAGTGAGTTAGGGATTGTACCAGCTCATTTTAGGTAGTTGAATCGAATCCGGAATAAATTTTTGATTGGGTCGAAGGTATTAGCTAGTATTTCCGGAGTATGTTTATAACTTAGGAGAAATTGATCCGTCCTGTTGTGAAGCGAAACACATGTCATTTATCAAGTAACGGACAGTTCCATTCAATTCTGGAATAACCTCGAAAATGTACATACATTTCAAATTTTTGAATAAATCAGTTCTTCTTGAAGTATTCATTTTCAATTCGATCATTCCATTACTGAATTTGTGTCTCACATACACATACACAGATTCATACACAGACACACACAGACACAGACCTTTCAGATTGATTTTCTGTGAATTCAGAGAAGGTTGAAAGAAGATAAAAAAATACCTGCGATTAGTATGATGCAGTAGGGAAATATGTCAAAAATACGTGGAATAATATATCATCGTTCATTGGAATTTGGTTTAAAATCAAACCAGGTATATTTTCAGAGGAGATTAATTTTTGGGAATGTTTCAGCTTTCTACTTATCCATCTTCATGCAAATATGTGGGAAACTGGGATTCGATGAAATAAGCGAATTGATTTCATTACGTACTTTTATCGATGACATGAGTAGATTGAATATTACTGGAGTCAGTACATCATAAGCATCATGAGTAGATTGAACTCATTTGTGACATAAAGGTAATTTCATGAATGAATTGAATGGTTCATATTATAATTATATGCAGATCAGTGCTCAAAAGGCAATGAGGCGAGGGGCTTATTCCGAAACATCTATGTTCGCCATTCATGATGACAGTGTTTATTTTGTGATTAATTACTTTCTTAATTTTTTGTAAGTTTTTCAAATTCCAGCTATTTCATTCAACAATCTATTTTTTATGAATTTCATTGATTCGGACTTCCATTGTCTGATATCCCTATTAATTGCAACTTTGCAAAGGTTTTTGAGATTCTGCTAGAGCGAGTTATATATCGGCATGTTAGTTGCAATATAAGTATAAATCAACACGGTTTTATGAAAAATCGTTCAACGGTCACCAATCTTCTGACTGTAACCCAACATATTGCTGAATCTTATGACAATAGGGCCCAAACTGATGTTACTTACACAGACTTTTCTAAGGCCTTCGACAGGCTTGACCATGGCATTCTACTGAACAAACTAGTAGCCTTTGGATTATCTCCATCCTTAATCGCGCTCTATCAGTCCTATCTACGGGATCGAAAACAATATGTTCAGCTCAATGGTTTCAAATCTACCGAATATAGTGCTTCTTCCGGTGTTCCACAAGGTGCAAATCTGGGACCGTTGCTCTTCAATATATTCATTAATGATTTTACAGACGTTATAGATGTGTATTTCCTTTTATATGCCGATGATCTAAAACTATTCTGCCTCGTTGAGAACATAGATGATTGTGTGAACCTCTCAGCAAACTTAGGACGGGTTGTAGAATGGTGTTATCGAANAGGTCTCGAGAAGGAACTAGATATCATCAAAAATGATCTTCAACGGAATGGCTACTTCAAAGCGATGGTGGAACAGACTTTGGATAGAAGACAGCAAGCATGAGCCTCGTGAGGAAAAGAAGCCGTCACAACCATTGCTTACACTTCCTGACATCAGAGGATTATGGGAAAGGATGAGAAGAATTCGGTCCAAGTACAGCATAAGAACTTGCTTCAGATCCGAAAACACTATGTATAGCAGCCTCACGAAAACCAGGCCTCCAAACGCAGACTGCGATTGCAAGAATTGCATTTACTGGATACCCTGTGAGTGCGGAGAGATTAAAAGGTCATTGAAAGTTCGCATTGCTGAATACACAGCGAGGGGAAACAAGCAAATCAGGAATAGCAGAGCATGTTTGGACCCATCAACATAACATCGAGAGTTTCCAAGTTCATACTCAGGGACGAACACTGGTTAAAGAGGAAATTCAAAGAAGACTCATATATGTTGTCCAACAATGTATTCAGCCAAGCTAGCGTAGAGATACGCAACATATATAAACCATAATCATAAACCATAATCAATCGAAAAATGATCAACTCCCGCCAAAGAGTCATCTCCTGCGGAACCGGTGAAGCGACAAAAGGAAAGAGGAGAGGAGTGGAATAGTCATCTCTCGGAATTAGTCCCCGAAGATGACTGTGGATACTAACAATCGAAACGTCGTGAAGTAACTTGGCTTCATATAATATTAAACAATGGGAGTCCAAGCTGATGCAATTCATCATGAAACATTGTCTTTCACCTTCAAACAATCTATTCTTCAATTCGAACACATAAATATAATCATTTCTGAAAATGAAGTTGCTATATGACAAATATAGACAAGTATGGAAACTATTATTTCAATTCATAGTATTGTATTGGCGAATATTTGTGTATTATAAGTTGTGATTATGTTTTTTGAAACTTATAGTCCCTTGAAATTGATGAACAAAAACTGTTTTTACAACCCCCAATAGTAATACATTTGAAGCGGAAAACTTTCATCATAACAAAAATTGAAAATTGATTATCCCTCTCAAATACTCTCTTGAACTTCCCTAAGGAGAGATGGAAAATGGGGAAACGTCCGAAAAAGCGTGAGGCATATCAATTACTTACTTGAGATCGTTGAGACTTCTAGAAGCGGAATATATATAAGAGAAGTCTCAAGGACACCCTTCAAATCCTTTGTGTGTGAAATATGGGAATGTTTTTCGTGGATTGATTATTATTTCTGATTGATGCATCATCATGACGAGTAAAAATGTTTTGGAGAGTTTTCAGCTCAAAATTATTGAAGAATTTGTTTCACCCAAATGTGTCCTTCATAATTTCAATTTTTAACAAATATACCCGTTTATCGAACATTACCATCTTCATTTTGAAACAATTGTTGAGATTGGAAAAGCTTTTTTGGTAAGTGTATGTTATATCTCAGGCAATAAACAACGTATTACATAGAGTGTGACCCATTTTTAATGGAAACACCTCCCTAAAATTTGAAGTTGTAAACCGATTCCAATAATTTTTTTTTGAAATGTCAAGTACTAAAAGGTCTACCTTGGGACAAAATATGAAATGTTTATTAAAGTTTCTGGGCATACTACGATATTTTTTCTTAGTCGAAAATCGGGATTTTTTATTAGCGATTTTTTTATTGAAAAAATCACTACGCCACT